CAAGAACTTCCAGTGAGTGTACCCTGTGACACTTGCCTGCACATGTACTGTCCCCGGTTGTGGTTTGGCTTTGCCTCGTATTTGTGTGGGTTGGCTCATCCTTGCTCAGACTCACGCAAAATCCGCGCTTCCATCGTGTGCAGCTTGATCACAGACCAGAACACAGGCCGCTCAAAGGGCTTTGGGTTCTGCTACTTTCTCGTGAGTGAGCAGTTAGCAAGCGAGCATACAACACATGCCCTCTTGCGCACGTGCGTGTGTTTGTGTTTGTGTGTGTGTGTGTGTATGTGCGCGCGCGCGTGTGTTTGTGTGTTTGTGTGTTTGTGTGTTTGTGTGTGTGTGTTTGTGTGCTTGGTGAAGCGATGAACTTGCGATCTTGTTTGATTCATATCGCGCCGCATTTGTGCTTGATTGTGACCTCAAAACGACGCAGGATGCCGCTGCTGCCGAGAGTGCTGTGCGTAATCTCAGCGGACAACCGGTACGTACGCTCTGCTGCAGAATTGTCCCCGCACGTGGTCTTGAATGCACGCTCCCCATGTGTGTGTGTGCGCGTGTCGTCTCTTTGTGGTAGGGCGCTATATATGTGTTCAGTTGTATTGAGAGGTCGACTCATAGTTGTGAGAAACCCCTGCAAACTGCCGCCCCAATCGCTGCCAACTGCTCTACAGTTGAGAGATAGGCCACTGCGCGTGGATTTGGCGACACCGCGCTCGCAGCGGGAACCGCGCCATCACGGCCATCACCACAGACACGACCACGGCCACGACCACGGGCACGGCCGCAGCGCACACGAGCCCGCACGCAAGGACACTGGCGAGCCAGAGGCAAAGCGGGTGCGTGTTTTGTGGTTTGTATTGTGCCGTGTATTGTGCGGATGTAAGGCGCTGTGCTGTGTATGGTGTTGTGTACTTGCGTGTTTTGTTGTGCAGCGCTGTTGTGTGGTACAGCACGTCTGTTTTGTGTCATTCTTGTTGAAGCTTTGTTCAGGCGGCACTCACGTACCCTTGGCGTGTACCCTCTGTCGCAGTCAAAGTTGTATGGGGAGAGTGGCCCTGCTGGTGGGAACGCGTCCAAGATTGCAGACACACTCGAGAAGGCACCCGTGCACAAAGTCCATCAGACAATGAAACAAATGAAGGTTCGTGTGTGTGTGTGTGTGTGTGCGTGTGTTTCATGTATGATCGTTTGCTGGTGTTTTTGGGTTGTGGTTTTGTTTTTGCTGCTGTTCTGCGCTTTGTCACTGACTTGACACATGCACGTGCGCGTCGGTGGTGTGCTTGTTAAAGGGCTTTGCCATGAAGCAACCGCGTGAGGCCAGGGCGCTGCTTGCATCACAGCCGCAGCTGGCATACGCCTTTGTGAAGGTTCGGGTTTGTCTCCTGTGCATGATCCTGCGATTACTTGAATCGCGCCATCGTGTGCGAGTGCGTGGAAACACAAAACGCGCATTCACACAACCGAAAACACACCCACACACTCGCTCACTCACGCTCACTCACACACACACACACACACGCTCACACATTTCCCTCACACACACACACATCACACATCACGGTCACACACACACAACACACACATCGCACTCACACACACACACACACAACACACACATCGCACCCACACACACATCGCACCCACACACACACACACACACACACATCGCACACACACACACACGTGCATTAGGCGCTGCTGCGTCTTGGCATGATTGACACGACGGCTGCTGACAAGCTCACGTCAGAGACGCCGCAGTCAGCGCTACTGCCAACGGGACCGCCGCCACCAGCACCAGCAGGTACTCGCCTCGCACACCTGCACATGATGATGATAATATTGTTGAAGTTGCTGTTGTTGTTGTTGTTGTTGTTGTTGTTGTTGTTGTTGTTGTTGTTGTTGTTGTTGTTGTTGTTGTTGTTGTTGTCCTCTTGTCCTCTTGTTGACTTCATTGACGACAATCACACGTGCTCAATCCCTGTGTACGCTCACTCTCACCCACACATGCACACGTCAATACACACTCACATGCACATGCACGCGTGTATGCACAGGTGTGCCAGCCGCGCGGGAGCAGCGCATGCCTGCGCGCGACGTGTACGACCGCGGATACGAGCGGGCCGGGCCTCCACCGCCACAAGCAGCACCCGTGGCGCGCCGGGAGGCATACGAGCCAGCATACCCGCCATATGACCGGCACGCTGCAGCACCGCCGTACGACGCGGGCCGTCGGGGTGGGCCACCACCACCGCACAGGGGCGGGTACCCGGATGACCGCAGGGACAGGCACAGGCATCCAGGTGGGGTTGCGGGCTATCGTATGATGGGAAGGAAAGAGAAGGCGGGGAGGTGGGGGGGGGGGGAGTCTCACCGTTGATTTATTTTCAGTCTCTTTGTCTCGCAGGTGATGATGGTGCTGACACACGCGCACATATGCACACACACACACACACACACACACACACACACACACACACACACACACACACACACATGCACACACACACATGCACACACACACACACACATGCACACACACACATGCACACACACACGCTCTCTCATTCGCCCATATATGGACCCACCTCGCATTCTTTCCGGCCTTGCGTGTGTGCACTGTGCAGAGCACGATGCTGGGCGACGTGGGGCGCCGCCGCCGCCACCGCAGCACATGCACGCTGGGCGACAGCCGCCGATGCAGCCTGCAGGCGTCCCGCCACCGCCACCGCACTCGAGCGCGGCTCCCTCCTCTGCAGCACCCATACCGGGCCAGCCACGTACGTTCCCTTGCATCGTGGCTGTATGTGTGTGTGCGTACGTGTATATATGCATCTGTGCCTGTGTTTGTATGTGTGTGTGTGTGTGCGTGTATGTATGCATCTGTGCCTGTGTGTGTCTGTGTTTTTGTGTGTCTGTGTGTCAGTCTATCTGCATGTTCATGCGTGCACCCGTGTGTTTTTCTGTCACTTACACACTACACTCTCATGCTGACGCCCTCCTCCATGCATCTCCCCGCCCCTCGCCCTTGGTGCAGAGCTGGATAAGAAGGAGGTCATTGAGACGGCGCTGCGCATGTCTGAGGAAGAGATCAGCCGCATGCCAGCGCACCTTGCAGATGCCCTCCGCAAGATCAGGCGCAAGTTTGGTATGGCGTAATGTAAAACCATGTAATGATATGCCTTGACGATGCCTTGTCGTCGTGTCGGTGTGTCACTTCGCCTTGCGGTGTGCCCGTGCATCGCCTGCGCCCACAGTAAACAGCACTGCGCTCGTGCTAGTGTCACGGCTTTGGCTTGCTTCCTGTCAACTGAGCTTCTGTCCTTGGCACCTTGCAGGCTTGCCTTGCATACATATCCCTTCTTGTGAGCGCTCTACGTGTCTCGTGTCGTGTCAGTGTGTGTGTGTCAGTGTGTGTGTGTGTGTGTGTGTGTGTGTGTGTGTGTGTGTGTGTGTGTGTGTGTGTTTGTTTTGTTGTGCCGTGGCTTGAGAACCAATGAGTGCTTTATTGTGGTAAACGCATACACACATCATGCATGGTGGAAAAAGGGAAGACACAATAGATGGGAGGCGGGGATTCACGACAGCAAGGCACACACACACACACACACACACACACACACACACACCATACACACACACACACATACACACGCACATACAAAGCAATATCACATCACACAACATGCACAGACGACAATGATGCCACATGCGGCGAAGAGCACGCACGAAGAAGGTGAAGAAAGAAAGGAGAACCGGATGACTTGACAAGCGAAGATGCGATGGTGTTGCTTCATGTGTGAGTCATGCGAGGCCTTGAATGTAATGCTCACGCCGCAACACAACGCACAGGACTGCAGCGTACAGGTTACTGCGCAGACGTGGCGCGCTCGGGGCGGTTGGCGAGGAACATGCGGAAGCGAGGGCGGGTGGCACAGCGGTCGAAGTAAGCCTGGAGGATCAAAGCAGCAGTGGTGTCAGTGGAGCGAGTGGCGGCGGTGAGGTGTTGGGTTTTGAAAAGCGTGATGCCACTTCGGAATGGTGCTGGGAGGTAGCGGGAAACAAGGTGGGTGCTGCTTCGTTCATGCTGCAGTTGTCTCCAAACCATTTTGGATGCAATGAAATGACACACACACACACACATGCAAGCACGGCTGGAAGCGTGCAAGTAAGTAGAACAGCAAGGCAGGGGCGTCAGTGTCACTGTGGGGGGTTGAAGCAAATGAACGCGGGGACAGCACGCACCTTGAGCTCTCTGTAGTCGGCGAGGACGCTCTCACCAAAGACGGTGACAACCTGGTCCAGCGCGTCAAACATGGCGACATCGCCAAAGGTGAAGTTGACACCGGGCCCAAGCCCAAGGTCGTCAGACTCCGTGGTCACCGCAAGCCTAATTTAGATGGGGTGTCGTGGTGTATTGTGAGACACGAAGCGTGTGTGTAGGTCTGTGTGTACAAGCGCACGGGCATGTGGTGTGCTGTACAGCTCGGTCGCTCTGCTGTCTACGCGCACAACAATATGGCAGCGCACTTGTTGAGGTGTGAGAGCCAGGCGGGCAGCGTGGTTTGTGTGAACGCGCTCTGGTTCTGCTTGGGACCCATGTCCAGGTACTGCTCATACAGCTGGCGACGGAGCTGGTTCGCCTACATGGGGAAAGCAGGTATGGTTATGGTTGGCGCCGTGTTCTGGGGCAAACAGAGGAGCAGAGGTGCTGAAGAGGGGGGGGGGGTCATGCCCAAGTGATGGTGCAGAGATTGACAACATTGTTGTGTCGCCGTTCTTCACAGACATGTGCCACTGGTGTGTGTATATATGTGTGTGTGGTGCAGAAACGAACAGCACGACCAGCTACGAGAGCAAAGGGTGTGATGGGGCTGTTTTGAAACGCACGCCGTAGGCGAGGGAGCGTGCAAGGGAGCGTTCGTCCTCGTTGCCACCGAGATATGTGTTGCCGCGACCAGAGCCCTCTGTGACAAGGAGAAAGTGGCAAACAATAGCAAGTGGGGCACACGGCGCAAAGCGGGCGTGTAAGAGGTAGAAACGAGGACAAGAACTACATGCGATGAGAGGGTTGGCAGGCTGGCTGCAGGCTGAACACACACGTTCCCAATGTCTCAAGACTCACGCTCATCAGCCTTGACGGCGACATGCTCCAAGATGGCGGCACCTGCACAGCAAGAATAACACGTGAGTAAAGGTGAGCTGGATAAGCGTGGTGGTGGTGGTGGTGGTGGTGGTGGTGGTAGTGGTGGTGGTGGTGTTGATGGTGGAACGTGTGGCGGTAGTGTGCAGCTCTGTGTGTGTGTGTGAGAGAGAGGGGGGGGGGTGCATACGCGCAAGCATACACACATGCACGCACACACACACACACACATGCGCGCAAGCATACAGGCATGCACGCAAGCATACACACATGTACGCAAGCATGTGCACACAACGTACTCTCGCAGAGGGTAAAGCCGTCCCAGTCCAGCATGGGGAGCTTGTTGAAGATGAGCTTGCCCGTCTTTGCAAAATCGGCTTCGTCGACCACCTTCTCGTCAAACTTGATACCCGCCTGCAAGTGGATTCAACGCAACATGGATGAGTGAGTGAGTGAGTGAGTGAGTGAGTGAGTGGGAGTGCTGTCAGCGTGACGTGGAGCCATGTCACGTCGGCAGGGCTCAAGAATACACGGGTGTACAAACAGACAGAGACAGACACACCGACACACACACACAGACATACAGACAAACACACACACAGACATACAAATAGAGATAGACAAACAGACATACAAACAGACAGACACACACGCACACACACACACACACAACATACACAACACGCAACACACACACACACACCTCGTGGAACATCAGGCGAATCTGCTCGGCATAGCCGCGCTTGCCGTTCGTGTACAGCACAGGCATGGTCGGACGTGTGAGCAGTTGTGGTGTGGGATGGGGTGTTGCTTGTTGTGCTTGCTTGCTTGTCTTGTTGTTTGTGCTTGCAGGCAGTGGCTTTCGCTTGTTTGTTGTGGTTGATGTGAGTGCGCATTGCCACTTCGGCTGGGTGGATACGAAGGCGGCACTATTTCACAAGGCAAATTCTTGTGCGAAACATACATCTCGGAGGTGACGCCCACCACGGCTTGTGTTGTTTTGGTTTGCTGCTTCACTTTGCTTCTTCCTCTTGGCGCACTGCACAACACCGACAACACAGACAACACAGACAGACACCACCACAGACAGCTCCACGCTCCCTCACAGGAACACACCAGCCTCCAGAGCATCATGGCACCGAAGCTGTACTACTTTGACGGGCGTCGTGGCGACGCAGAGGCCATCCGCATGCTGTTCAAGGACACGGGCATCGTGAGTGCCTGAGTGCATGCATGCTCTGCATTGTGCACACACCTGCCTCTCGCTCCCTGTCTTGCTCGTTCGCATCTCTCTCGCTCACACTGAAACACACACACACATGTACACGCACATGTATACACACATGTACACGCACATGTACACACACACACACATGCACGCACGCACGCACGCACGCACACTTCCATCGACCAATGCAGGCTTACGAGGATGTTGGCGTGAGTGAGGAGACGTTCAAACAGATGGACGCGGCTGGTGACCTGCTGTTTGGCCAGCTGCCCATGGTGGACTTTGATGGCCTGAAGCTTGTTGAGCGTAAGTCGAACTGTGAACACATTGAAACTCTCTGGCGGTGAAGCGAGGGCCATTGATCTGCCTTTGCTGTTAGCTGCATCATTGAGACCGTCGCTGTGACGATGGTCACAGCACTGCCAGTTTACGAAGAAGACATTCACACCGCCCATCAATACACGATACGCACACAACGTACACACATACACCACACACATAACTACAGAGCCTGCCATCCTGGAGCACATTGCGCAAATGGCAGACAAAGCCGGAAAAGGTACTCACCCTTGCATACTCTATCTTGATTGCTTGCAAGCAAAACCAAGTACAACCTCTCTCTCTCTCTCTCTCTCTCTCTCTCTCTCTCTCTCTCTCTCTCTCTCTCTCTCTGTATGGCTCGTTGACTTGGTCGTGGCCCAGGTGCTTCCCTCCCCCAACGTGCGTGTGTGTGTGTTGTCACCGCCAAACGTGCTGTTGTTGATCATCTTGTTGCTTCTTCTCACAGGCACAAACAAGTACCTTGGCGAGAACGAGAACGAGCGGTCCACAGCACGTTCCCTCTGCAGCGCGGTGCGTTTAACGGCGTTGCTTCGTCATGCATAGTGCTGCGCTTGTTCATTTGGTGCGGTTCTTTGTGTTTTGTTCTACCCTTCGGTTCCTTGTGTGCGGTTCGCTTCTTTCTCCCCCTTCCTCAACCACTTATTTCACACCAACTCACACATCAACCACCACCATCACCACCACCAATACCATCATCATCACCATCACTACAATCATGCATATTATGCACACATGTAGGCGTGCGACCTTCGTCGTGAATCGCTGGCCATGCGCAAGGAGGGTTCAAACG